CGCCCACTGTATGTTCACTGTCTGTGTGGGACATTTGCACGAGTACAGGGTATGCTTTTTGGACAAGCATTTGCTCAATTAAAAAAGTGATCATTAGTGGCAAACAGCACGCACCATTGTCCTCATAATAACAGTATATTAATAGGAGAGTGTTTTTTAAGCCTCCCTAACCTGTGGGGGTCTCTTTAATGTGCCCAGAAGGCAAAGCGAGGTGACTGAGCCCAGAGCAATAAAATATAGAGTGAGCCTGGAATGTGTAAAACCAAAGGATTACAACACAGGCCTGAAAGCATGGATGAGACATAAAAGAGGCCATCAAAGCGTGTAAACCATAGAGTCCCATTATTGTGTGACATTAGCCCATGGCACACATAACCCTTAATGATCCCATGGGTGCCTGCGGCACGCTGTCCTAATGACTTCCTGGTTAAAGGATAGTTGTTTCCTGGGAAAGAGAAGAATAGCTGCACACGTGCGTGTCCCTTGTACAGCAAAATCCGGCTGTGTTCATTTTGCAGCGTTGCTAGAAATAAGTTAGACTCGGAGTAAATAGATGAAAAACAGAGTGCCATCAAATAAACACCAAATTAGTCCCTGTTTATGTCGGCATCAAACTACTTATGCAGATAGGGCGATCATACAGGGTTGGATCAATTAAAGGAGATTTGGACAGACTGAAACTTCACAGTGCGCTAATTAGGCAGCCAGCCGCTATGCTAAATAAATGGAAATGTATTCCTTTCCGTTTCTTTTCTTCTATGTGTTTGCGTGCCTTGTGTCACCCCAAGGAGTTTAAGCAGAACACTAATTCTTCATCTAATTTTCTCCAACTCCCATTGCTTTCGCTCTCTGTGTCTCTCTGCCTCCATCCCTCTCCATCTTTCTTCTCACGCTGATAGCTTGTCTCCCAGGATCCTAGCAGTTGTCAGTAATCAAGGAAATCACTCTCAGAGAGCTACAAATAGGTCACTTATCTGATGTCTGTTCTGATCTGACTGAGACAGACAACCAGTTAAGTCCCTTGCATCTGCCTCTCCCTGCTATTTTAAGTGTGATTAGTAGCCATTCGATCTACTAGGAGGAACTGAAATAACAAGGAGAATTAAAGATGGGGATAGATAGACACTGAGCGAGAAAGCAAGAGGAGGACAGAAATCCCTGCTTTCATCATTAGCATTCTATTCAAATGGCTCAATTGAGCAGTTGTCACTCATGGGATTCCCGGGGCACCGAGAAACCGCGCTTCTTCATTTATTCAATTTATTGATATAAAGACTCTTCATTAAGAGACACCAACAAATATGACATCTGGTCTCATGTGGCCTTGATGTGGAATTTTAAGAAGGCATAAGAGCAAAAGGCCGCATGATGTGTAAGAGTTCCTTTGTCTCCTCTTGGGGCTATTATACTGAATTGCCAACTGCACTCTCTGAGCTTTGAAGTTCCGCCGAAGAAACAGATTGCTCGCAAACACACACTGTCGGTAAGTAAACGTGCACAAGTCCGCATGCAGACTCGCATACCCGTGGCAGGTGAAAATTTCATGATTCCCTCATGACGGTCTTGTGAATTATTGAACTGAGCTGGTCCTTTTGATCCACGCATTGGTGCACACAGAGAGAATCTCTTACCTGTCAAACACTTCACTAAACTCACATACATGACTACAAGCTGCTTCTTATCCACCCAGGAAGTGTCTATGCTAAAATAAAAAAGAAGAAAAAGCCGATTCGGGGTGGTAAATTTTTCTTTTTCTTCATCTTCTTCTTCTTCTTTCTGGCTGTCCCTGCAGCTTGAGCAGATGTTTGTTGTTTGCGTGTGTGTGTATTTCTTCTGGTTTTGAGCACAGAGCCCTTAACGTGTTTGTCTCCTTCACAGATAAGACAGAGGATTTCACAGGCACGTTCTCATTACTGAAATGCATAATGCGTCTGATCTGCTCCACATTATCTGTCTGTTATCCAAACAAATGACACTGATGATGAGGGTGAATGATCAAATTATGTTATTGTTTATGCCATAATTTCATCCTGCTTTGATTGGCAGATAGTGGGTGTTGTGAATAATAAATGCAATTAGTCCTACAGTATCTTCGTGCTCCAGTGATTAAATGCCAAATGGAACCGCCTAAGTGCACAGATTGATAGAATTTTTACAATATTGTACATTACACCTGAACCTGCAGCATCCACAAATGGATCCTGTGTGAAGCGAGCTCAGGAAATGAAAATTGTGAAAGCTACAGAGGAGCGCTGCACCGTGGGTGTGGGAGCACCACGTTCGAAATTAAGAGAGAGGGTATCATGTTCAAACAGAGAAATGTTTTATGCAGCAGCCACCGTCACCACTGAACGGATGAAGTAATTTCATTTTCATGCATGATCTGCAGCCCCACAGACCAGGAAAATTGCATAGGAGGGGGAAGAGAAAGATAGAGAGAAAAAAGAGTCAAGACTTCCCTTTTCTTCATTTCTCCATTATTCCCTCTGACTTGTAACCATAGTGATGGTTCAGTCCCAATAAAGTAGAAAAAAAACCCAGGAAACCCGGCGTTGTGTTTAGAACGTGAGTTTGAAGTCGGAGGAAAGATTATTTGATTACCGCTGCAGAGCTAAAACACCAGCACCAAATTTAATTGGCAGCTATCCCGATTATTGATTGATTCTCTCGCTCCGCGCCTCCCATAAACCCTCTTCCTTCTACACTCACTAAAGTCTCACTACGGTCACTCAAAGCCTGCGTCACCTTAAACACGTACACACGTACTTTTTCCTCTGTTCTACTCTTTTAATATATATTATTGGAATAAAGCATTTTTTCTTTTTTTTCTTTTTTCACTACAGTTAATGATTTTCCGTTTTTCTCTGTTTGTCTACAGTAAAACTTGCATATGCAAACTTATCATAATCGTATATAATAGATTAAATTAGAAGAACAAATTATTGGGCCATTTGTAATACTTTCAGGAATTTAATGAACAAAATGGTTAATTAATTAATTGTTAAACACTTTTAATTAGTATTGTCAGTTGTAGCTTTGCAACCTATAATCAGCAGTGTGGCCACTTAACTTAAGCCCACCCATAATCCCTGTAAAATCCCAGGGAAAAGTCAAGGTGAGCTAGTCATTGACTATTGTAATCAGTCGTTTGCACTGCTTTGAGACAATCAAGATGTTTAGCCTCTTATCTCTCACCCAGTACTACCACCAGTACTACCAAGCAGGCATCCAGTAGCTGAAAGTTATTGTACAACATGACAACAACCGCAAACATACAAAAATCTTTAATAAAAAAAATAAAAAAAAAACAAAAAACATCATTTTGCTATGTTTCACATTAATAACAGTTTGGGTTTTTTTGTTGTGAGTTCTTATTTAGTTTAACCACTTAACTCCCATGAAGTTATTTTAAAAAATACTGAGGAATTGGCTGGAAAGGATGTCATTTCATAAACATCACCAGTGGTAATTCTTTATGATTACTAGCTGATTTTTGTCGTAATGTGCAGCAATTAAATGGAAACAAGCTTCTTCCTCCTGCTCCCTTATCCACCACAGCAGGTAGCAAAATGTGTGGGATTTGACAAGTTTTCACACCAGATGTAGTTCCTGACAGGTCGCTCTGAGGCGTTTGGGTCTCCTCCTGGTCTTGAACAAGGGATCTGTTGCTTGTTTAGTAAATGTGGAAGCCTCTACACTACAGAGACACACCACTAATCAAGTGAAAACCAAGTGGGCTGTTTTTTAACATCTTTTGTTAACATGAGCTCTCAAATGTCCATCCCTGATAGAAATGCCCCTTTCAAATAAAAGGTATGAATTAGCTATATAAGTAGTATTTAACTGTACTTTAGGGTTAGTATCTGTAAGTATTTGTCCACAGACAGCCAAGCCTGTCTGTGGACTACTAGAAGGTGTAACTGCAAACATACAACAAGAGAGAAAGGTGTAGTATGATTACAGAGTTATAGGGGATATGTGTAAATATTTTATTTTTATAAAGTTTGCTAGTCCAGGCCCAAACTGGCCGGATTGCTGTTGATCTGGTTCTTGAGGTTATTCATCATTTATCTGTGAGACTTGTCCTGCAGATGCACAGAAAATCCACAGTCTTGGTTTGCTGCTGGCAATGGTAGACCTCGTTCTGCTTCCTGGGAGATCGCTTGCAGCAATCTACCATTACCAGCTGCAGTTCAGTATGGTGGAGTCTGGGGACCCATCGGGAATCTTTTGATGGCTAGGCCTCTGGGGGCGGTGGTCAGTTCTCGGGATTTCCAGTGTTGATATCCGGATAGTGAAAAAGTGGAGAAAAAAAGTCTGTTTTTTTGTTTTGTTTAACCTAAAACAGCTAATAAAAAGCAAAATTCAAGCTCAGAGAAAAATGGAGTACCAGTGGTGTAGCTTTTCAGTGCTAGAGATACCATCTCACAGGAAGTGGTGTCATGCTACGTCTTTTTTCTTTGCCTGTGACTAAATGTGTAAAAGCTGAAATGAGAAGAAATCTAAAATGAAGTCATTAATCAGTTTCACAGTCCAGGAAAGTCTCCATCAGAAATGCTGTCATTGTTAGACATGAAGTCATGTTGATTTTTTTTTTTCAAGGCTTCTGCCATAATTCAGACACATGCCATAAAATCTGCCATAAAAGTAAAGAAAATCAAAGATCGGACAAAAATCTGCTGGCAGTACATCTATTTCCCCTCAGTGCACATTGTTCAATCTTCCATTTTCACCTCTGGGCTGTAGGTTCAAAGACACAAAAGAGAGTTTTCTGTGAAAATGTTATCATCAATGTATCTATCAAACATTCCACATACTGTTAGTTTTCTCACAAACTTTTAGTTTAAGGTCATAGTGTGTTTTTGACAATTTATGTCACATACTGTTCTGCTCTGAACATTTTGTACTTTTTGTTGCAATTGCAGGCAAAGCTTGAAAGGACTAAAAAAAAAAAAAGATTTTCCTCTCTGTTCAACTTGCTTCTCTGGCTCTGTCCTCAGATCCGCTCCGATCAGGATAAGGATGTGGGCATCCGCTACAGCATCACCGGAGCAGGCGCTGATCAGCCCCCGAGTGGTATCTACAACATAGATCCCATCAGCGGCAACATGTTTGTCACCCAACCTCTGGACAGAGAAGAAAGAGCTTCCTTCCATGTAAGAAAGAAATGTCTCTACTCGCCTGTTTTTGTTTTCTCTCTAGCTCCAGTTATGTCTGTCTCATTATCTCCCAATTATCCTTGAGGAAATGTGCCGGGGCCCATCTCTTCCCCATCTACCTTTCCTTTTAACAAGTAATGTCGTCTGCCAAAACTAAATGACAAGTCAGGGTGCATTCAGAGCAATCACTGCTCTGATGTACAGTACCTTCACATCAGCCGCTCCAGGAGTTAATTGAAGCCGAAATCAGCTATGAAATGAAGACTGGTTTGACAAAACCCACTGCCGCGGAAACTGCCATATGGATTTGGGTTTAGCAGTGCAGAGTAGGAGGATTTGAACACACAAATGCAAAGTGATGTGCAGGTAAATTGTTGTGCACGTTTGTGCCATCAGAGCTAACAAGCTTGGCATATGTGTGTATGAGCTGGTATATGTGTGTGTTTCTGTGTATGGCATGCTGATTGATAGCTGATTTACCGTTAGTGGGCTCAGGTCTTCTTTTCCACCTCTCTTACTTTCTGTCCGTGTCCCACTTTCCTTTTTGCACTTCAATCCCACACATTGTTGCAAACTTACCTCATGCACTCTGAGCAGCTGCGCTGCTCATTGGGGCAGGCTGACAGCTGTATAGTTAGCCTACATGTGGCCTAGTGATTCCCTACCACACTCACGCACACATATGCACACAGAGAAAACCAAATGATTGGTCTCTCTGGAACCTCGGGTTAAACAGCTTTTCATATGTGTGAATTAAATATGCAGGGCCACATGAGGCTTGTGCTAATGCTAGGCCATTAGTTCATATACCCACATTACAGGTTTCAATTTATCTCAGCAAAGACTAACACCTCCACTTGAGGTGAACGCCGGTGTCAGAGTCACAACTCCTGCGCGCCTGTCAGAGTGATGGATGGCTGAGCCGCCGATAGAGCTAATTCAAAAGCATGCTCCTGTCTCTTCAGGAAAGAGGGGAGGGGGTGCCTTCATTGCATACACTCAGCATTATGCCAACAGTACAAACTTTGAATGTATACACACAGGCATGCACATAGATATGCATTGGTAAATTCCACAAAGCTCTATGTGATTGTCTTCTTGATTAGTTTGTCTTGCTTTTCTCATGCAGATGATCCTCTTGTTCCCTCACTTGCTGCATTCAGACTCTGGTCACTGCTGACTGTGTATGTGATTGTTGTCTCTCCATACCTGCTCGTACTCTCAACCAGCAAATTGGGATCAATAAAGCAGGCAGGTTATTGGTCCCTGGGAAAGGACAGCGGCTCAGTAAACAGTTCTTATTTGACACAACCTGTAGTGAAAACAGCATGTATGGTTGAGAGCACTTCAAGTTGAATGAACCTCCTATTTAGACACCGTGGACCCATGCTGCTTGTGATGTGATGTATGATTTACTGCAGGAGAATGTAGCTAGTGATCGACCCACGGGAAATTTAGTCCATGACTTTCCTCCTTTTAACTTGATAGGAAGTTCCCAGCACTACTGTGTGCCCTCATAGGCCAAACTTTGCTTGTTAGTTTTGGGTTCAAGAGAAAAGAGAGACAAGGCTGCTGTTTTTGACAGACTAGCACCAGGGGGAAGTGATCTGTGAGGTGAGGAGAGTGGGTGTTAGCCTGAGCTTCAGTTTTGTAATACAGACCTACTGTGATGAAGCAGGGCACAAGGAGAATTGCAAGAAGAAAAAAAAACCCCAAATGTGCTTTTTTTCTTTTTCCATCTTTTGTTGCATGAATGCATGCACTTAAGCATACAGGAAGGGTTATAATCTAAAAGATCCGGTCATGGACAGCTGGTATACAGCATTTTTTCAACTGGCCTCAAATACAAGTAATTTTCTGGAACCATTATGCTTATTACTGTATTTATATTGATATTACATTCAGCTACAATAACAGCGCTGTGAGGCTTGAAATGGCAATACTAACATGTTTATGTTGTGACGCCATGATGTTAACATGTACTAAATGGCTTTAAAAATAGACACTAATGGTAATGTAATTAGTTTTGCAAGCATTTGGAGTTAAATCAACGAGCTGGCCACGTTTTTTATGCCATTCCTTCTAAAGCATGTTATGATGTCTCAGTAAATAAGTTTAAACTTTGACCAACTGCTGGAACTCGACTTTAAAAAATCAAAAGATATTCAGATTCATTAGACTTTATCTTCTAAGCTAGGTTGTCTTAAACCCATGGCCTCCAAAAAGTAAGTCTAAGCTAAACTACAACTGAAATCATAAGTTATAAGTGTTATTGTGAACGAGGTATAATTAAAATAGTGTAAATGCTTATCTAACTACGTGTCATGTGAGCACGCGAAGATCCAACACAGTCAAGCGAACATTAAACACTCTTTGCCAGCTCCCTAATACAGAGTGTCTGTGTAGAGTTTGCCAACATGGGCATAGCAACATTATGGAACTAGCACAGGTAACTGCCCGCTAAATATACAGCAATTGGGTAGCTGCTCTGTGCCCTGCTTCCTGTAAGAGCCACTCATGCAGCAAGCTGACCAAATCTAAACTGAATATTTCATCTACACTATCTGCTGTTCCATGCAGCACGTGAGACAGAAAAAACTCCAACAATATCTTGATCTTCATGTTCATGTGAGGTTATGTATGACACATCTGTAAAGGATAACTCATGAGCTTAATATTCCATGCCTAATTAAGTGAGCGCTTCTTAATTTTAAGTTAATGCAATGGATTTGGTTTAGATGACTTGAAAATAAATCACCTCTGAAAAGCCTACTGGTTATTTCTTTTGGCGAGATAAGAATAGCGCTTCACAATATTAATTTTACATGTTATGAGATGAAGATCTAAGTTTTTCCTTGCAACGCTCACGCCTCATACATTGGACTGAGGCATGAGTGTTGCAAAGTTAATTACTAATTAACTCTCAACATGAGCTTTGGCCAGAAGTCATTAATCACTACATGAGTCTTTATCATGGTGGACTGTTGCTAGCTAAAATGTAGCACTAATCTCAGCCACACTACAACAAGGAGTGAGTATATACAGTTTATTTACTCATGTATACATACATATATTGTACATAGAGTACATATAGTGTAGGAACTAAAGAGAAGAAATTATGTGATTTTGTGACAGGCTGCTGGTAACACGATTCTTAAAGCTACAAGGTAACCTTGGCCTCAGAATCTTAGCAGAAAAAATAAACACTCCACTTGAAGCACCATGCTAGTATAGCTATACATTGGCTAAGGGAGCCAATGGTGCAAAGTACAAACTGTATTTCTCCTCTGTGGTTGGTCTAGTCATCCTAAAGCTCACGCTGCAGAATACTGATGTTGCTTTCCACACATACATTTGCAGTTTGCGCAAGGCACACTCATCCAGGCCCTGTGATCACATTTCCAACCCCGCCACTGAGCACACAAACGCAGAGACACATAAACAGACTCCCGAGAACATACGCAGGAAGACACATGCAGAAATGTGAATATATAAACGCTGACACATATAGAAATAAAAGAAAATGTGCAGGAATATACACACGCACAAATCTGCAAGCAGAAAGGACAGAACACACACAAACGAAAACACAGTGTGACACAAAGACAAAAATACACAGCGGTCGCACATACACACCCGTGCAGTTGAGGCAGCCACACATATCGCAGTCGCACATATCACAGTCACACTTCCACACTGTGCAGTGTTCACAGCTGAGAAAACAGATTGGGCTTGTTTGTTTGTTGGGTCTCCTCTCCATGTTTGTTTGCTGTGCTTCAGCCAATGGAAAACTACCATCTTGAGGATCATTAAGTGGCTAAAGAGGGCTCTTTTGATTGGCTGTGCACGCCTCCCCAGTGTGTAATCTTCCTGCTCGTCGGCGTCCGTGTTAATGTGTGTAAACATGTGTTTGAATTGGTGTTTGGAATGCTCAAGCAGTTCGGCTAGGGTTCGATGAATCCTTGACAGACAGGCACAAAAGCCGACATGATCGGTGGTGTTTTGGCAAAGGCAGGTGCCGCCATTCAATCTTTCATGTCGCCCCACAATGCATCACGGTTTCCTGTAAATAGGCTGACAGGAAGACCCTCCTCGACTGTGTGCAGACAAAATATTTTGCTGCCAGCGTGTCTGTTTTAGCCAGAATGAGAGCCCTTCTCCATTTAACAAGCCAAGCTGTGATTGATTAACATTTCTGCAGAGGATACGAATGTGTATGCAATTGAATGAGAGTAATGTAAGTCATGGTGAACAGTGCCAGTTTGGTTCCAGGGCTATTACAAAGCTTTGCGTTATATTAGATATCATTAGAGGGGACTGGTGGGGAGAAGAGGGTGTGTAAGAGCAGTGGTGGAGATTAAGACATTCCACTGCAGATGATGATTGCTTTTGTCAGTCTTGCCTGTTCAAGCCCCCACACCTCCGCACTGCCTCTTTGTATTTTCATCTCTCATTTGCTTCCACAGGACTCATTCACTCTTCTCTTCTCTTCGTCCCATCTCATTCGCCGTTTTTTTCCCGCCCCTTCTTTCTTTCCCTCTCTCCTCTCTCTTTCTCTCTTCTCACACTGTGAATTGTCAAGGAACAGCTCATCAGACGGAGACATCCATCCAAATGGATGGCTTTGTCAGAACAAACTGAGACAAACATTCTCCCTGAACAAAAAGAAACCACAGCTTGAGCAGCAACACCTCTCTGATATTTTTCAGGCCTCTGGCTGTGCTAACAACAAAATAGGTGTTGTTTGTGTGTTTGGAACATTTCACTGCTTTGCCCCTGTCTGTGCTGTTGTGGTCCGTGCCAAGGTACCAACAGGATACTCATGCCCTGTTGGCAGACATGAAAAAGAATATTTGCAGATTATATGAAGATGCCAATTAACAAAGTCGAGGAAGCTGTTGGTACTGAGGTTTTTCCTTTCTGCAGAATCTTTGCAAAGTGTCTTATGCATCAATCCGATGCCTCGTTATCAGACTTAGTTGAGCTATATATGGAATATTCATACAACCTTAAATGTTGTACTGAATGCTAATGATATCATTTTTTTCTTTCACTTGGGCCTTTTTATAGCTGCGTGCACATGCAGTGGACATGAACGGGAACCAGGTGGAGAACCCGATCGACCTGTACATCTATGTGATCGACATGAATGACAACAGACCCGAGTTTCAAAACCAGGTGTATAACGGCTCTGTGGCAGAAGGATCCAAACCAGGTACCAATTATTTCTACTTGTGATGAGATCATGAATCTAATACAGTCTAATGTGAAAATGTAGATTATTCAGCCATAATGTACAAAAAGTTGTCTGCAGTCTTGAGCAACTCATTTTTTAAGCATTAGTTCTCCAGACTTTTTGAAGGTCACATTTTTTCTTTAGACAGTCCTTGTACCTGACCATTTTCACTGGATTTTTCTGCTTGTTTGTTTGTTTATTAGGGCATTTTAAACTGCCATATACATTTTTCTAGCATAAAAAGTCACCTAACTCAAGGAATGAACCTGTGCTGTCTATACACATATCTAGCGACTCAGCAAAGAACCAATTTTAAATTGTTACCTTCAGGCATTTTAGCTTAATTTGTCCCATTTTCTTTAGTTAAATATATGAAAGGATAGATTTAGGTATGCCAAAGACAGCACAGTTTAACATGAAATATTAGTTTTGCAAAGTATTTCCCAAAGAGGTAATAGCTCATAACCTGGGATACTCTGAACTGGTAATGGCGTGTCTGTAAATGATTTGAGGAAACTGGGCAAGTGGAGGACAAACGAAGAAGTGTCAGGCCTAAAAACTGTCAGATGAACAGTATCTGAAGGTCAAGTCCTAAAAAAAACACCTTACACCAGCGGTCCCCATTTTTTTTGCACCACGGAGTGGTTTATGTCCGACAATATTTTTACGGACCAGCCTTTAAGGTGTCACGGATAAATACAACAATATAAAACCAGTACCAAAAAAAGATTTATTCATTACAATGGAGATCTTGTCCAAATTGATGGATTTATGAACACAGAAAAGTACAGTCATATTTTGAGCAACCATGCAATACCATCTGGAAAGCATTTGATTGGCAATAGCTTCAATTTTCATCATGAAAATTATCTCAAACATACTGCCAATGCAGTAAAAGCATACCTGGATAGAAAAACACACAACATGGATTGGCCTCCCCAGAGCCCAGAATACACAGATATAATGTACATAGTTTTGAGTTCAGCGACTTACAAGAAATATATGTCATCATCATGTTGGTAAATCTGTTTAGAAATCATAAGAAAATACTCCTTAGAGATATTAAGAATCAAATCAGTGTCAACTAACAGCTCCCCAACAATACGAACAGCTCAATGTTAGAAAACATGACAAAAAGAGTAGCGTACTCGGCTCTGCATTTAGACTTACTTGTTATTACGCTCACAGTTGTGATTAGAGAAAATGGAAAAAAGAAAAGGTTTTATTTGTCTGCTTCAACAGTGCAAGGTGTGAGTGCAAAATGTTTCTGTTACAAAAACAGAAAACAAGATTTAAATATTCTGCCTTCACCTTCAAAGTCTTCACCTTCAGAATTCACCTACCCTGCTTACATGATGCGGCTCCCTCCAGCTTCATCCTTTTCCTAAAGATGAAATACAATTTCCGGAGTCACTGCCTGACACATTGGAGACGATCCAGTCAATGGCACAAATGGTCAGACCTGCACTTCCAGGAAGCAATCCAAGTTTAGCTAGAGTACTGCAGCGCAAACAGTAGCTGGATGGTAGAGGTGGGCGATATAACCTCAAAATGATATCATCATATTTCTCAAAAATTCACAGTAATGATATTTGTGAAATACTGAACATTTCAAGACTGCAGCTTTGATGACAGACTACCTAATACACAGTATGAGTGCATTACTGCAAAGTACCATCAGCAGCATTATAGTGCAATAGCAATGACGCAGCATAAGTCAAATGCAAGCACAAAAATAGCCAAGGTTGTGCATTCCCTGGAAAATTTAAGCAAAACTATAACATAACTGCTGAACACGTGAACAATAACTAAAGTAACTTCACGTCGTTACGTCTCAGCACAATAAAATTGTCACATAATAAAACTGAAACTGAAAAGTGGACATAAAGTATTTTTTGCTTGAGATGTTGAATTTCAGGTCGAGTTTTTTAACCAGCTGCTTAAAGCCCTCCTTTACCTGCAACCACGTCAGTGATTTCCATCCACTGTTTACTGTTCCTGTCATATGGAGCATTCAAGCGATGCTCCTGTCTCACATCACCAGCTGCTAGCATCTTTTTCTTGCATACCATCATATCATAACTGTGCACCCCTAATACCGATGTGTTATACATACAATCTGTTTTTAGGGGGAGAGTCTGGGAACTCGACTGAACTCTGGTTAAGTAGTTTTAAGTCAACAGCTTTATTTCACTGAACTAATCTAGTTAATGTGCTGATCTGAAAAGGCTGCCTTCAGGCCTTCAGACACAGTATAACAAATACAACAACTACCTGTAGCGCTAATAACTGTATAACTAATAACCCTAATTTGTCAAAGGATGGGGCAGCTTCACAAATTCTTATTGTTTGACTTGGTGACTGGGGGTGGGTGGGGGGTATAGGTGCTGTAGGGGCTATAAAATACCTGCGAACACAAGTCTGTAATTACTTAATACCCACTTAATACAGCAATCTCAATCACTGCATGGAAAATCATGACTCCACGGCCCTTTTTGTCATCATACTGTGCTCTTCTCAAGATAACTAATGTAGCAGTTCATTGGAAGCTGTGCGGTAGCCATATTTACATTAATTATTACTGAGACTTGCAAAAAAATTTGTTGTTTATGGGCCCTTTTTACATTAGCTTATAAGATCAATGTTTCACCGTGACTCTTGGCTTTTTCTCGTTGGGTTAGACAAGGGCACGTCGGCGAGATATTTATGTTACAGCATCTTGGCTGGATGCATCATTATCAGATTCTGCAGAGCATGGAGAGATGTAGAGCTTCTCTCAGAATCAGGGAACAGAGTTGCGGTCAGTGCGAAGCCAGAGACAAGAGCAGAATGCACAATGTCTCGACTGGAAGAACTCCTGTTTTAACAATCAGACCCTGAGGACCCGTGTTTGTCTTCACAGCGTTCAGATATTGTTCTGCTGCAAGTTTAATCTCAGGGGGATTTGTAAACAATATAGGAACGCATGTTGCGCATGTGTATGTGCTGGACTGTGTGTGTGTGTGTGTGTGTGCACGTGAACGCTGGTTACTCCTCAGTGGAGCGTGGGTCTATATACAGAGCTCCTAATTAGCGAGGGTAACCAGACATTCCAAAAGCTACTTTCTTTGTTTTTCACTCTGATTCTCTCTGTGTAGTTTCAAATGAAAGACTGCAATGACAAAAAGTGTTTGAATTCAATATTGCATTAAGCCGGGCAAAATCTGTGATACCAATTAACAACAAAAACGTTACACTCTGTACAATATAATTGCTCTGCCCTTCATTAAGCAATCACTGCCAAGTAACACTTGTTTGCAGAGCACACACTGTTAGGTGACAAGATGGGCTGTGTGTTTGTTGTTTAAAAAACAGTCATATTTCACGTGGAGGAGCACGGCCCCTTTTTGTTTTCTTTTGTACAGTCATTCGTCTGAAATTTGATGAATTTTAATTAGAAAAATAGACCGCATGTTGGTCTAATTGCATGTTTAGTCGAAGAAAACAACGATTTATCTTCAGCAGAGGTTCGAGACATACTTTTATACTTTTCTGGCCCATTTAAGCATTTAATACATCCTCAGCCAGTTAAATCTTTTACAGCCTATTAATAGATCCAGTCTAGGATTCCAGTTAAGTGCTGCAGAGCTTTGCTGAAGTTAGTTTTTATACCCACTATTTCTAATTAGCGAACCTGGCAGACAGTTGAATGTGCAGTCAAGTGCTTTTGAAATATGTATCCTGAGTTTGACTCAAATCTTTTTGGGGATTTTTTTTGTACCCACTGGAATCACTAATACTTTAAATCACTAAATCTAAGGCAACAAATTAAAATACATACATTTGATAAAAGAACTTAAATCTCCAATACAAATAGAAGGTGCTGTGAGTTTAGCAATAGTGTATTTGCACTGGATTTTTCCCTTTTTTCATTTTCTCACCTCGTCCCACCTGTTTGACCTGTCTTCATTATTTGTGGCACTTCTTCTTGCTTGCCGGTGGATTATATCATGAGGAGGAGCACTTTTACATAAACTGACATTTTCAGTCATTAACAAAAAAAAAGACCGTGAAATCTCTCAGGTGTTGCCCAGAGTGACACACTATCTTTCCATGCTGGCAACAGGTGGAGTGAAGCCTGTCACAACACAGCAGCTGACAGGTGCTGCTCTGGGCAGCAGTGCTGCTGTACACAGTATCTCTCAGTATGCCTCGATCTCAGTCTCCCAGTGCACACAGCACATTTAAAAAGCATTAAAAGAATTCCAACACATTTTTCCACAAGTGCAGAAAAGTTATGCTCATATTTCAAAACAATATTGCCACACCAAAAAGAAATGATGTAAGTTTTTATGTGACAGGTTAAGACTAAAAAGCCTGAACTATGAAATAAATGCCAGAAAATTGGCTTATCTTAAACAAATTAAAAAGATATGAGGTGGTTATGGTTAAAAATATCGTACAGTGATGATGTAGAGGTTGGTAACTATGTATCAAATATGATGCACTTGGCATTACAGGGTTAAAACTTGACAGCACACTCAACTTTGTGTCCAGAGTCAAGCTGAAGTTTGTCTGTAATTTAAGAACCTGCAGGCATATTTTCTCTCATGTTGATGCTCTGAAGGAGAGTTAGTTTGTATCACCATAATGACAGATGTCTCCACAGCTGAGTCTTTCAATGCTTTGGCCTCATAACAGTTGGGTTTTCAGCGTAAATTCTTTAAACAGCTTAGGTTAAACTGTCTATAAGTGTGCCTTTCGTCTTCAGTATGCACAATAGAAAATGTATGAGGCAGTTCAAATGGTTTTGTAACTCCACCCCTAAAATGCAAAAAATTCACCTGAATGCATCAAGCGCCGGGTGTATCACTTTCAGCATCGACAGATGCAGCTATCAGAGGTTCTCTGAAGCATTACAACACACCCTCATAGCTAGCACTGTGCGAAAGCCATCAAAGAGGAAGTCCTACAGGGAACCGCCCTTATCGCCGTCACCA